GACCCGCACCCAGCCGAGCAGGTCCTTGCCTGTGGGACATGTCACAGAGGTGTCCTGGACATGTCCTGGACATGCCGCACCCAGCCGAGCAGGTCCTTGCCTGTGGGACATGTCACAGAGGTGTCCTGGACATGTCCTGGACATGCCGCACCCAGCCGAGCAGGTCCTTGCCTGTGGGACATGTCACAGAGGTGTCCTGGACATGTCCTGGACATGCCGCACCCAGCCGAGCAGGTCCTTGCCGTTCGCGCCTGTGACAGACCAGCCAGGGGGGCACGCGCTGAGTGCAGAGCGAGCGGAGAGGGCGGGTGGCACGACGCGGCACTAGGGAGAGGAGGAGGGAGGAGGAGGAGGGAGGAGGAGGAGGGAGGAGGAGGAGGGAGGAGGAGGAGGGAGGAGGAGGAGGGAGGAGGAGGAGGGAGGAGGAGGAGGGAGGAGGAGGAGGGAGAGGAGGAGGGAGGAGGAGGAGGGAGGATGAGGAGGGGGGAGAGGAGGAGGGAGGAGGAGGGAGAGGAGGGGGGAGAGGAGGGGCCCCGGGCGAGTGCCGTCTGCCGCACGCGACATCATCACGTCGACGTGTGCCGCCTGTGGCCGCGACTGAGAGAGGTCACTCGTCGTACACTAATGTGGCGTCGCTTCGAGGGATGCGCCGCCTTTTGTGCGCCGCGGGCGAGGGTAGGGTCGGTGGTGTGTGTGTGTGAGGGTGGAAGGGGGTGGGCGAGACGCGAGAGCGGGTGAGAGGAGGGTGAGAGTAGCGTGAGGAGAGAGCAGGGCGTGCAGGGGCGAGAGGGAGGGAGGGGGGAGGGGTGCGGGTGGGCGGTGTGCCCCGCGCCTGCTCCTCGAGGAAGGCGACGCCAGCCCCGGACCCGAGCCACTCCTCGAGGCCTCTCCACTCCTCCTCCCTGCCAATGTGCCCCACGCCGAGCCCGCCTATGGGACATGTACATGTAATAGAGGTGTCCTGGACATGTCCCTGCCGATGTGCCCCCACGCCGAGCCCGCCGGTCTTCTCGAGGAAGCAGCACGCCGCGGCGAAGAAGGCGTCCTGCGGCAGGGCGAGGGGAGGGGAGGACGCACAGTCACACCCCAGCGGGGGGCACAGAGGCCACGTCTGACGCGACGCGGCCGCGGCGGCGCACCAACTCGACTGCGGACGGCGCCGGCGCCGAGGCGGCGGGCGCGGGTGCGGAGCTAGCCTCCGCGGCACCCTCCTGCTGCAGCTCGGCCATGCTGCCGCGGGCGGGCGGGCTGGTGAGGCTCCTCCACCATCTGCGACCAACCTCGGCGTCGGGCAGCCCCTCCGTGCACCGCCGCGCCGCCGCGCCCGCCCGCAACGCGACGACCGCCAACGGGCCTCCGCCCGCGACGCGAGCCCAGAGGGCCTCGTGCCACCGCGTGGCGTCCTCCTCGCTCTCCGCCTCGAGGTGGTAGGTCTGAAAGGAGAAATGGTCGCCCACCCACCTCCCTCGCTTCTGCTTGTCGGGCGCGGGCGTCAGGCGCAGCCGGTGCCGTCCGCCCTCCCGCGCGGGGGCGGCGACGGCGACAGTCGCGCCCGACACCACGACCGTCTTTGGCTGCGGCGCTTGCCCGCCGGCGGCTGGTGGGGCCTCGTAGTAGCGCAGCTCGCTGCCGACCAGCTCAAACCACCGGCGCGAGAAGCCCGACGTGTGCTGCGCCTGCTTCCACAGGAACCCCTCGCACCGCTCGCAGTGCTCCAAGCCGCTGGCGCGAGGCTGCGCGGTGCCAAGCGAGAGGCGCGAGGGCGGCGGCGGCGGAGACGGCGGGCCTCGGGACGACTGAGGCGTGGACGGCGGGCTCTCCCGCCCAGAGGGCAGCAGCAGCGCGTCGAGCGGCAGTGGCCGACGCTCAGAGTGGCCGCTGTCCCTCCTGGCAGTCAGGCCGGTCACCGCGAACTCCAGGCGCTCCATCGATGCCGCCTGACTCTCAAGGAGCGACTCGATCCGCAGGAGCCGAGACTCGAGCGGGTCCGAGGATCTGGCCTCCGCAGGCGCCGCCATATACCACGGGAGTCTCAAGTGTGGCGTCGAGCTGCAGCGTCTCAAGTTTTGAAAAAACCTTTTGTGCGCAACTGCACTCCAAGTGCTCCAAGTGCAGTCCTGGTTCACCTCTCTATTTACTCGGGCGACGCTCGCGGTGGCCGAGGCGGGAGTGAGAGCGGAGGTGGAGGCGCTGGCGCTGGCGGCGCTGGCTTCGGCGAAGACGGCATTAGCTCTGTTGATGACCAGACGAGGTCCCTGTCATGACCGCAGCCGGTGCCTCTCGTGCAGTCCGACGCGAGCTCGTCCTTGGTGCAGAGGCGCGCGCCTGCGCCGGCGCAGACGGCCTCGGCCTCTTCAAAGGTCTTGCCGTGGTGGCAGCCGCCCATCTCCGGTCCGTCCGACTCGGCCCACACGTCGCAACCGGCTCTTTTGTCCCACATCGCACCGAGCTGCGTACCGGAGCAGCAGCGGACCTCATGCCTCGCGTCGGGGATCGCCCAGCCCGCGACCTGAGGGCCACACCGGTTCCGCCTGCCACATTCGACCCAGCGCGGCGGCAGGGGTCGCGACGAGGGAGGAGGAGGCAATGGCGGGGGCGACGACACCCGTGCACCGCAATCTGTGCAGTCCTTCCCGTAGGGACACAGGCTGTACACGCTCCCGGCCCCGCCATCATCGCACTCCCCGTCGTTCAGGTGGCCGCACACGGCGCCATCGTCGTCGCAAAGCTCTGGCGGCGCAGGGGGCTGCGCCGGGGGTCGAGGCGGCTTGGCCGCGACGCCCGGAGGAAGAAGGAGGGTGCCGGTGCACGTGCCGCGCGGGAGAGATGAGACGACATCCGTCGCCTCTGGTGAGATGCCGGCCCGCATGTCTGGCAGGGTCCGCGGCTGGATCTGCCGCAACTTCTCCAGAAGGATCGGGCTGGCAAAGTCGCAGGTCGCCTCGTCGGTGCACTTTGGGCCGTCACGGAACGTGATGTGCTCCTCGCAAAAGCTATCTGGGTTGGGCCCCAAGCTCTCTGTCTCACAGTTGTCCAGGACGCCCTGCATGAAATCTTGGTCCCAGCCGCTCTGCGGTGAGGGAGGAGAGCAGGTGAGGACGGCAGGCAGAAGGGTAGGTGGGGTGGCGGTGGCAGGCAGAGGGGCAGGTGGGGAGGCGGTGGCAGGCAGAGGGGCAGGTGGGGTGACGGTGGCAGGCAGAAGGGTAGGTGGGGTGGCGGTGGCAGGCAGAGGGACAGGTGGGGTGGCGGTGGCAGGCAGAGGGGCAGGTTGGGTGAGCGTGGCAGGCAGGGGGGCGGGTGGGGTGAGGGCGGCGGGCACACGATGTAGTCGGCGTGGAAGGTGCTCGACCCGTCGGAGAAGGTGTGCCACCCGCCGTCGTAGTCGAAGATGCGGAAGAAGAAGGATATCTGATGGCGAGGGTGTGCGGCAAGGGTAGAGTGAGGCGAGAGTTATGTGATGGTGAGGGTGTGTTAAGGATGATAATGAGGATGAGGGTGAGAGAGGCACGGGGCGATGGCGCCTGAGGAATCTTGAGAGGGTGCGTGTCTGGGCAGGTCCCGTCAACCTCGCCTCCCTCGATTGTGTACGCCACGTGCGACGCATGGTCGGCGCTATCGAGCCGCCCGTCCCAGCAGTTGGGGAAGAACATTGACACTTCGAGCTCGACACACGCCTCCCGCGGGAAGAAGTCGTTCTCTGTATGGCAGCCATCAGGTCGCAAACACGGGCTAGGCTCCACGCACTCCGCAAAAGCGTTGGGAAACTCGGACTCTGTGTCGCCGTTCCGGCCCGCAATCATCCTGAAGCCCGGCGGAAAGGCGCGCGGGCTATCTTCGTTCGCCCAAATGTAATACGCCGAGGACTGCCCAATCTCGTTGCGGGTGTACGTGCCGGTGAGCTGATCGTATCTGTAGACCGTCGGGTGCCAGTACAGAGACTTATTCTCCTCCACATTGCCCGTGTTATCGGTCGTTGCCACAAGGTCCTCAAACGTAACCTCGGGGCGCGGCATAACATTTGGTCCGTAAAAGGTGTGGACGTGGTCCGTCAGGCACGTCTGAGAGAGTATCGGGTCCGTGCGCACGTGGCCGAGAGGGAGGTAGTCCGTCTTGATGGAGGTGCCCTCACCGCCGCGAGGCAGTGATAGCAGGGCGAGAGCGGCGCTGAGCCTGTAGCTGGCAGTCATGCTGCTGCGTCTCACGAGTGCGAACTGAAACGCTGGCTGATTGATGGAAAACGCGCGCCCCCGTCGAAACGCGCAAGTTGTGAGAAGTGAACGAAAGCTGAAGGTAACAGAGCAAGCACTGTGGATCTGTGGTGGGCCGCGCCTTGACGTGCTACCTTGGAGCACTTGGAGTGCAGTCGGTAACCTCACACCCAGGGCCGGGATTGATTAATTGATTGATAGAAAGGCGAAGCTGCCGGGCGGGGAGCTAAGAAGCGCACCCAGCGGGCCGGATGCTCGGGGACGGGCTGCGGGCAAGAAAACTCTACACGTTCGCAGGGAGGGGGCCCTAAAGTAAACACTGCTCATCTGCTCTCCGAAGCAAGCAAAATTCTTTTCGCTTTGCGAGAGTTTTTCCTTCAAATTCTTTTCGCCACCTTTCCGCGCTAGTTGGCCGGCCTGCATGCCCCTGCCTTTCTCGCTCCGAGGACACCAGTCGATGAACCTCACGGTGCTCAACCCTGGCAGCCTGGTCAGCCCCGGCGTGCACCTGCTCTGCTACGGTCCCTATGCGGCGCCGCGAGACGCCCGCGCGCTCGTGCGGTTTCAGCCCGATGTGAACATGGCGCTGGTCCACCACCTCATCATGTTCGCCTCACCGGGCGCGCCCACCTCGTCGCGCGCCAGCTGCGGCGGCAACATCATCTACGCGTGGGCGCGCACCGGTCAGACGACACCGCAGGGGCTCGAGCTCTCCTCGGCCGCCACCGGCACCGCCGGGCTGGCCTACGGCGTCGGGCCGGGCTCGGACATCGGCCACTTCTCGCTGCAGCTGCACTACCAAAACATGGAGGGCAAGCCCGTCTTCGACAAGTCAGGCGTGCGGCTCAGCTTCGAGAGCCGGCCGCCGAAGACGCGCCTGCGGTTCGACGTGCTCATGTCGACGCGAGTCAACATCCCTCCGGCCGTCTTCATCGACGAGTGCGTGGCTTGCCGCGTCACGCGGGGCGGCACGGTCTTCGGCTTCCGCAACCACGCCCACCGCCTCGCGCGCGACATCTGGACCGACGAGTTTGACGCGCACGGCGCGGCGACGCCTCCGCCCGGCCGCCTCCCACCGAGCCGTCTCCGAGCCTCTTCCCGGAACCTTCCCGCAGGCGCGGCGAAGCCGTCGATCGGCCGCCTGTCGGCGCAGGAGCCGCAGATCATCCGCCTGCTGCCCAAGCCGCGCTCGCTCGCCGAGGGAGAGAGTCTCGAGCTGCACTGCCTCTACAACGCGAGCGGCGTCGACCGCCCGACTCGGATCGGCCTCGACGAGCGGAGCAAGGAGATGTGCAACCAGTACTACCTCTCCACCTCGGCCCTGCGCGTCGAGTGCGACGGCGAGGTGGCGGCGCCCTCGCCCCCGGCCAACGCGGCGCTCAACGCCGCTGTCGCAAAGTACAGGGAGGCGAGCGAGGGCAGCCCGCTCGGGCAGGCGCAACGCCCCCTGCCCCGCCCCCGTCTCCGCCCAGCCCCGCCCCCGTCTCCGCCCTTCCCCACCCCTCCCTCCGCCCTTCCCCACCCCTCCCTCCGCCCTTCCCCACCCCTCCCTCCGCCCTTCCCCACCCCTCCCTCCGCCCTTCCCCACCCCTCCCTCCGCCCTTCCCCACCCCTCCCTCCGCCCTTCCCACCCCGCCGCCCGCCGCCTCCGCAAGGTGACCGGCGCTGCGGCCGATGGGGAGTGGCTCTACTTTTTCCACCGCGGAAAGGCAAATTTCATGAACACGCAGCCGCTCGACTTCGCGCCCATCCTCCGCTTCAGCCGCAAGCACGCCAGCCTCGGAGGCGCGATCGGCCGCGGCCTCTTCACGGTGCGTGCGAGTGGCGCCGACTCTCCCTCCCATCCCCCCCCCCCCCAGCCGCTGCCCCCGCCCCTCCCCCCCTCAGGTTCCGCACGGCCTCTCGCTCGACCCCGCGGGCTTCCTGTGGGCGACTGACGTGGGCAGCCACCAGGTCTTCAAGCTGAACGCGCAGACCGGCGCGACCCCCCCCTCCCCCTCCCCCCCCTGCTTCCCCGCGGCTGGTCGCGAGGAGCGAGTCCGGCTCCGCGACCAGACAACACATCACGACCAGGCGCCGTGCTGCTCAAGCTGGGCGACGGCCGTGCCGCGGCGGGCCCCTCCTCCTTCAACAAGCCCACCGACGTGGCCGTGGAGCGGGGCAGCGGCGAGGTGTACGTGGCGGACGGGTACGGCAACTCGCGCATCGCCGTCTTCTCGAGCTCGGGCGCGCTCGGCAGCCCCAGGGGGAGGGGGCGGGGGTGGGCGGGGGGCAGCCCCAGGGGGAGGGGGCGGGGGTGGGCGGGGGGCAGCCCCAGGGGGAGGGGGCGGGGGTGGGCGGGGGGCAGCCCCAGGGGGAGGGGGCGGGGGTGGGCGGGGGCCGGTGGCCTCCTCGTTGCGTACGCAGCTGCACGCTCAACTCAACTGCCGGCGGCGCGGCTGCAGGCGAGTATCTGCGCGAGTGGGGGTCCGCCGGATCGCAGCCGGGCCAGTTCCGCGTGCCGCACGGGATCGTCATCGACTCGCGCGGGCTGGTCTACGTCGCCGACCGCGAAAACTCGCGCGTGCAAGTCTTCACGCAAGCCGGCGCCCTCGTGACGGTCTGGGCCTCGCGCGTCGGTGCGGACAAGGGCTTCGGGAGCAACCTGGTGTGGCGCGCGCACGTCTCGTCGGTGCGCCGCAGACGCCCCCGCCGCCCAGCAGCGCCGCAGCAGCGAGGCGCGAGGCGCGTGTGCGTCTCGCCCGCAGGTCTCGTACGACCCTTCCCTCGACCTCTTCGCGGTCACCGAGGGCTCCAACGTCATCCTCCGATCTGCGACCGGCTGCACTCTGCTCTCGCGCGGGCGCGCCGCCGCTGCCGCCCCCGCCGCCCACCCTCCCTCCTCCCCTCACCGCCGCTCTCGCTCGCCGTCGCCGCGCAGGCCGTTCCTGTGGCCGCACGATGCCATCCTCCTGCCGCCGCTCGGACCCGCCACGCCACCGGCGCTGGCGCCCGCCACGCCACCTGACTGGCGGAACCCGCGCCCACGCAAGACCCCTCACGCGCCACTCTAGGCGGGCTCCTGGCGCGCGAACGCCGGCCGCCCATTCTCGTTTGCCGTCGCGGAGCTCGAGGGGAAGCGCGTGACGCAGTACGAGGTGCGGCTCGGATCTGGCCGAGCAGGGCTCCAGAGTATGTACGGCTGAGTACAGCCAAGACCGGTTGTATGTGAGCGCGTGAGCAGGCATGTGTGCGCCGGCGGCGCTCTCGAGACCGAGGGTCTCCGTACAGTGTGTTGTGTGTGTGTGCGCCCGCGCGGATGTTGTGCAGCGCGTCTCCGCCCGGGAGAGAGATATGTGTGTGAGAGAAAAAGATAGAGGTCGGCGCTCGTGAGAGGTGAGTTCTCCTCGCCGTGAGACACTGTGCAAACTCGGGGCAGGGGGAAAGCGGAAACGACCACAAAAAAGCGCGCATCTGCGCGATCCGGGGCGCGGGGGCCCCACTACCGCCCCGGCCCCCGCGTCTTGCGTCTAGAGTGTCCGTACCCACTGGCAGCCACTGGCCACTTGTGGAGTCAGGAGTGTGATCGGCTTCGTAGCCGGCCTCCGGTCTACCGTACTGAAGGAGAGAGTACACTGAAAAAGGTGCACACACGTGCGCACCTATACCGGATTCACCCCCACACCTACCTTCACTGCTAATTCACTGCTCGCTTCCCAACGAGAGCGTGCACCCGCGCGCGGCGGGTCGATAAGGTACCCTGCACGCCCCGACGCCGCGGACCCTACGTCGGTGCCAAATTGTACATCGGCCCCGGCAGGCGTGTTCGGTCCTCCCTCCGCGGCGGCCGCTCGCCCGGCAATGGGAGCCTCCATCCCGGCTGCTCATCCTGCGGGTGGTGGTGCGGGTCCCGCGCCTGCGTCGCCTCGTCCAGGCGCTCGTGCAGCTCCTTCATCGTGAACTCGTTGTGCTGGCCGCCCTCGTCGAAGAAGAGATCCTCCTCGTGCATGAGCTTCCGCAGCGCCTCCTGGCGCACCGCCTCGACCACCGCCGAGGGGTCCTTGGCGCGTCGCTGCGTCGACTCCAGCAGCGCCATCTTGTACTCCTTGGAGAGGAGGTTGTCGACCGTTTTCAGGAGCTTGGGGACCATCGACGCGCGGATCTTGCCGCCGGTCGCCAGCTCCGCCTGAAATTTGATGAAGGCGGGATCGGCATCGAGCTGCTTCTCCAGCTCCTGCTTGGTCTTCTTTTTGCGCCCTCGCGTCGCCGCACCGACACAGGTGACTGCATGCATTGCGTGTGCCCGCGTAAGCTAGGCTAGGAATCCTTTGCTGGGGAAAAGAGAAACACAATCCCCCGTTTTTTGTTTACCTGATACGCCGCGAGGAGGACGGAGTTGCGCAAGGCGAAAGAAGCCGCGAGAACAAGGGACCGGCAGGCGGCGGCGCCGCAGGACGAGGCAGAAGGGAACGACGCGACAGAGGAGGAAGTGACAAGGGAGAGACCGACGAGAGTGGGACGGCCGCGAGGTGGCATGAAGGTTGCAGCGAGAAGCGGCGAGAGACTGCGAAAAGAGATACGAAGAGGCAGACTCCCCAGGGTGGGCGACGGCTAGCGCATCACACTCCTCTCCTTAAAATCCCTGTGTGGTGGCGGCGTGCCGTTCTCCCATCCCTCCCTTGGGTTGTGTGTTTTCTTTCTTTCTTTCTTTGCTTCTGCTTTTCATTTTTCTCCTTCCGCTTTTACGAAAATTGGTACCTGCGCCTGCGGAACTGCGGAACGAGAGGGGGGGGTGCCCGCACGATGCAGGGGAACGTGCTTTCGGGACAGCAGGCGTCCGGATCGCCCTGGGATGCCGTCAAGGGCGCCGGAGAGTCGATCAAAGCTGGCGCAGATAAGGTCTTCACAAAGGAGAACAGAGATAAGGCGGCGGCGGCGGCGGCGAATGCGAAGAAGCATGCCAACGACACGCACGAGGAGCTGAAGCGGGCCGGGATATACAACCATTTCGGGAGCTTCAACCGGGAACTCATCAAGCCGTGGGACACCTACGGCGGCTTCAGCCCAGAGCTGAAGACAGAGGCAAAGAAGACCTTTGTGCTGATGTCAGAAGACTCGATGTTCTCCTTCCAGCTCTGCAACTCGCTGAGCTTCTTCGCGGGCGTGCTTAGCGCGATATGGTCGTTTCTCAGGGGGCACTACCTCGAAGTCATATGGGGTACCCTCATATCCTACCTCCTCGCATGTGTGTGACCGAGCCTGTGCCGATCCCAGGTCACCGCGCTGCCCCGACCCCCGCCTGACGTGCGCGCGCAGACTGGTTCTACTTCGCCTTCGTGATTGAGAAGTCGAAGTACTCAACATGCTCGCAGATTTCGCTTGCGATCTGTGTGCCACGCGGCCGCATCCCGTCCGCCGCCCCTATGCGCAAAGTGACGCATCCCCCCGCTGACAGACGTTGCGTTCACGCTGCTGTCTGCTTTCATCGGCCTCATTTACCCGATATCATCCATCATCAACTTCGCGAAAGCCTATTTTGCCGCGCTGATGCTCTGGTATGCCCACTCGGTAACCAAAATGGCGCCGCCCGCCGAAAGCGCTGTGCCAACGGGGTACGAGGACGGCTCCTATGGGGTGGGGAAAAAGAAGAAGAAGAAAAAGGGAGAGCAGCAGGACCCCTTCATCGGGGCGCTGGTCTAGACGCGCTGGTCTAGACGCGGACTGAACGCACGCGCGAGAGCGGCCTTGTGCAGTCACCGGCGGGACCTTTGTGCGATGGCCTTCTCTCCGCGTCTTCGCCGGCGCTAGAAAGGTCCGCTGCGTGGTCGGCACGAGCTCTCTCTTCCGTCACCCTACATCCACCCTTCGTCCCTGTGTACCCCCGCTGTAGCATCCTTGTTGACCGTAGTTTCTGTCGTCACCGTACACCGCGCCCACCACTCATGACCCCGCGAGCCAGCGGAGAGAGACGGGTGGCCCAGAGGGCTGCGCGACAGTCCGCGCACGTGCGCACAACATGACCCTTAAATCTAATTTTGGCGTAAACAGTCAAGCTCTGAGACGAGATGGGATGCAGGGACATGTGTCCCCGCCAACTGCATGAAGGATCCTTGAATCCGTCCCCTCACCCCCCTCGTCACAACCCGACACAGGAGAGAAAAAAGATAGCGGCCGCCACCGGCAAAAGAGTTTTGGGGCTGCGGCTACGGCTGCGGAGCCGCTGCGAGAGGGGCTGTGGGGTCGCGGGGGAGCCCCGCCGCGCAGCGTTGATAGATGATAGGTGCTAACCCTCTTTTGCCGAGGCTCGCATCAGTAAGATGATAGAGATGTCGCGGGGGATCTCGAGATGTGTCGAGATTTGGATTTGATAACTACTTTCGCAACCCCCACCCCATCCACCGGCCCCATCCCATGCCCGCCGGCTCTCGACCCGGCTTTCTAGCGCTGTCTCTTGCTGTCGGCGACGGCGAACGGCTCTCCCCGCCTAGCTCCCTGCGCGGGCTCTCTGGGCTCTCTCCCTCCGCGTCGTCTGACTCAGCGAGCTGCGCGCGCGTAGAAGGCAACGAGGGATCCACCCCCGACGCTGCACGCACCAGGGAGTTCCTGCTCCCGCTCATGAACGCCGCTAGCTTCGTCTCTTCAGAAGTCGCGGACCCTAGCTCATCGCCATGTTCTTGGCATGCCGCTGCGGCAGCCCTCCCCAACGCCGTGGCTGCTGCCGCCAGCCGCGCAGCTTGCATCTCGAGAAGGCGAGTCGGCAGTCGAGTAGCTCCTGCGGACACGCATCTCTCCGCCGTGCCGAGTGCGCCGCCGTCGCCTGCTTTCTGCGCAGTTTCTTGCGAGTCTTGGAGCGCCGATGCGCTCAGCGCCATGGCCTCCGCCGCATCGGCGCGCTCACAAGCCTCGACCATCAATGTTGTGGCCGCCTCAGCCTCCGAAACCGCCGCTTCACGCGCAGCCGTCGCCTCTGCAGCCAACATCAGGGCTTGGGACCGCGACGCCTCCGCCGTTGTCGCTCGCTCGTCCGCCAGCCTCACCTCGCCGAGCACCGAATCGAGTGCCGCGCGCAGATCTCGCATCTCCGCGTGCGCAAGGGCGAGCTCAGCTGAGGCGTCTGCCTGCGCATCCCGTAGCTTTGCAGCTGCGGCGGCCCTGGCCTTAGCCGCTTCGGCTAGAGCCGCCTCGACTGCGCCGGCGGCGGCCTCCGAGGCAGCGGCGGCAGCCTCGCTCTTAGCCTTTTCGGCCTGCTGCACCGCTCCTGCGAGCGCCTCCCGCAGCCGCGAGGCTTCGGCCTCGAGGACAGAGACGCGCTGCTTCGCAGCTGCCTGCGCCTCACGTGCACGCGCCAATTCCTCCATCTCGCCGCTCTCCTTTGGACGCCGCTGCCGCTCGGGCTGCTGCTCCTCTCTCTGCTGCTCCTCTCCAAACGCCGGCCACGCTGCTGAGGAGGCGCTGCGCCTTGATGTTTGCGCCACAAGCCGTATCTCTGGCAGCACCTCTTTTTCAAGATTCGGTGATAACAGTGGCAGCACCGGCACCGGCGCCGGTGACGCCGATGCCGAGATAGAAAGCGTGCGATCGTCGCCTGCCGGTGCCGCCGGGGCTGCGGCCAGCTGGTGGAGCTGCTCGACAGCGCGAAGCTCGTCTATGATCGCCTCGAGCATGGCTTTGCCCTCGACTAGCGCCGTGTCTCGCTCGGACCGCACCCGAGAAGCGTGGCGTCGCACATGCGACAGCAGCGAGAGGAGCGCCTTTCTCTCATCGTGCGCCCCCGCCGCCTCTGCCACGCATGCCGCCTGCTCAGCGGCGGCCTCGGCGTCCGTTGGAGATTCCTCAGGCCCACACACGGCGCCGACCGCAGCGCTGATGACGGAGGCGGCGCGTGGCATCCTCCCCACCCCCAGCCGCAACCCAGCTGGATTAGCTGGTGGTTGCATGGCTAGCACCGGCACCGGAGTTGGTTGCTGCGCCGGCGGCTCGAGTGGCGTGGGTGGGAGCGGACTGAGCGGGGTGGCTGGTGGTAGGTCAGTGATCGACTCCGGGCACGACTCACAACCCTGCCCACCCTCGTTTTGGCACGCGGAACGCTCGCTCTTGGTGGCCACGACCGTGAAGTGGAAGTGGGGAAGGGTTGCGTCACCCTCTGATGCCCCCGCTCCCTCTGTGCTGGTGCCAAACCCCACGCGGTCCCCCGGCTTGAGTGGCGCCCGATCGACTCGCTCGCCGTTCAAAAACGTGCCATTCGCCGACTTGTTATCATGTAGGCACCACGCTCCGGCCTCGTCCACTGCCAGGCGCGCGTGCAATCGCGAGGCGCGGCTTGGTCGGCCGCCATCATCACACCACAGCGCCACCCGCTCTCGCCACCGTCCCACCCAGAGGCCTTCAGTTACGCTGGCGTCGAGCACAAACTCTTCCCCGCATGAGCCGATTTTGCGGAGCGCGAGCCGCGGCGGTGCTGGCGCGAAAAACGCCATATGTCCCCATTTAGCATGCACAGCCGTTACATCTATCAAGAGAACGAACAAGCCGCGGAGAGCGACGAGTGTTCCAAGGACGTGGCAGTCGCAGACGTCCCACATAGTCATAAAAACAGCCCAGGTGCGAATGTTTCACAGCTCGTGAGAGTGTGCGTTTGGCAGGATACCGCACACCTCGACCTTCACCTCGGCCGAGGGCCGGCCTCCACGCGAGCCGACGGCCTCGAGCTTGGCCAAGACGGGATGGCTGCCCGACGCGGGAACGCCCTCCACCTGGCCGAAGACAACGTGCTTGCCGTTGAGGTGCGGTGTGGCCTTGAAGGTGATGAAAAACTGAGACCTGATGCAGGTGGCGCCGCGGGGCGCGGGGCGTGTGTGCATGAGTGTGCTGCGTGCGCGCGCGCGCGCGCGCGTGTGTGCGCGTGCGCGTTGGAGGGAGGCGCAAACACTTGTTCGTATTCGGACCCGCGTTGGCCATTGAGACGCGGCCAGCACGGGAGTGTTTGTAGCGAAAGGACTCGTCGTCAAACGCGCCGCCCCAGATGGAATCGCCGCCGCGCCCATCGCCTCGAGTAATATCCCCACCCTGCGCCTGTGCGTGCGGGCGCAGGGCTCAGGGCGTGGGCGTGCCGGGCAAAGAACCCTGCTGAGGAGCGTGCCATAAACCCTGGGATTATGCGATGAAGCTTGGAGCCGCGGAGGCCAAGCGACTTGCCCGACCCTTTCGACGTGAAGCCCTTGATTACCCCGAGGAAGTTTTCCACCGTCTTGGGCGCATGCTCACCGAACAGGCCAATCTCAAGCCGGCCGGCGG